ACATCTATCTCTATGTCTTTACAGATCTCGATGGTGTTTTCACTTGAGTAAAAGGCAGATGTTAGAATCCTATTGCGCTTGTGTTTATATTTTAAAAGTCTGCTAAATAAATCCTCACATAAATCATCCCAGTAAAAGTATATTTTAGAGATGAAGTCCACCCAAATATGTCATTTCAGTTTTTAGCGTAGGCCAGTGGTTTGAATCACCTAACAGTTTCTTATAGCTCAAGGGGACTCCAGCTGTCAGAGGTCCCTGCCAGAACTCCTTGCCATAGGCACTATGAAGCCACGTCAGAGTGTCTTGCTCCGCCTAGTGACTTCTCCATAGCTTGAAGCAAACGGGCAATCAAGTTGTGAAAATGTGACACCTTCGTCAAAGTCTTGGCAGAGGATAGAGGCTGGGGGAATTCTGGAAAACTAAGAGGACATAAGATGCTTTAGCTTGCTAGCATCCATCCATAAATGACAACAGTTTTGCCAGGAAAGAAAAAAACCAAATGTCCCAAAAAGTGGCAGATATGTTCTGGGAAAGATTTGTATATAGTTACAAAGTTACATAGTTACATAGTATTTGAGGCTGAATAAAGACACAGATCCATCAAGTTCAACCTATTGCGTGTATGTATGCGATTCTTCATCTGTATGCGTGTGTACGAGTCCCTGTGTGATCTTGTTTTTAAGTGTACCTGTACCCATGTATGTTATGGTCTCTGAGGAAGGTATCTAAATGTTTTTTGAACGATTCCACACTCTCAGCTGATACCACTGCTTGTGGCAGCGAGTTCCCGACCCTAACCGTTCTAACTGAAAAGAAGCCCCTTCGACCCCTTGTGGTTAAATCTTTTCTACACCAGTTTTAGGTGGTGGCCTCTAGTCCTTGTTATGGAGGTAAAAGGTTTATTGCTGATGTTGCTGTCACCATTGAACATCTTGTACATCAACATCATGTCCCCCCTTATCTCCTCACTTCCAGCGTAAACATGTTTAGATTTAGTAGCCTTGTCTCATAGCTTTGGTCCTCCATCCACTTAATTAGTTTAGTTGCCATTCTCGTGACTTTTTCCAGCTCAAGGACATCCTTTCTGTGTATTGGTGACCAAAACTGGATACTCCAGATGAGGCCGAACTAGTGATCTATAAAGTGGCAAAATTATAGATTTGTCTCTACAGTACATTCCCTTTTTAATAGACTAGTAACACTATGAAACACTGTATTAAAATGGAGATATTTTACATTTATGTGTCACTTATTTGACTGTGCTGTGTAATCTGTAGCTCTGTGGAAGCCACCACTGTAGGCAAAAAGAGCAAGCAGAATAACAGTTGGCCACTGTTTTGACAGATTGGGGCTTATGTATAAAAAAAGTGGAAGAAAAACATTCCTTGTTGCCTATAGCAACCAATCAGAATCTGTATTTCACTTTCAACTTTGAACTGTATTTTGTATTGCTTTGTTGCCTATAGCAACCAATCAGAATCTGTATTTCACGTTCAACTTTGAACTGTATACATGGCACTGTTTACTAAGGTCAGCAAAATCTTGTTGGCACATTTTTCATGCATGAGCCCCAAAGTCAGCAGTGTTTGTCTTGTTCAGTACTATCTGTATTTTAAACATTTTCTGCAGGCACCCCTTGGCTGACATATCTTGTAGGGCAAATTGATTATTCAGAATTCATTTTTCTGAACAATTGTATTGTCTTCCTGAGATAAAGCTGGCACCTTCCACCTGTCAGTTCCGATCAGCAGGGGATCTGTGCATGGGCTCCCATGCTGATTGTTCAGAGCGGATGTCACCTTGTTCCTTCAGTTTATTCCTCCATCTAATGATAGAGGAAGAACTGAACTTACCAGACCCATGTTAGGTCTATGGGGAGTTTGATGTACGAGGACATGTGTCCGTTTATAGCAGATTACCTCCATCACGTTCAGGTTCGCCAAAATGAAACTCTGTTTTCTGGATCTGGATAGAGTCAGGGTAATCGGATGTAAATGGACGCACCTCCGCTCCGTTTAGATCTGGCTGTCCATAGACTTACCATTGGACTTCCAATCAGATCCACCTGAACAACTGACAGGTGGACCTGATCGGACTGCCCGTCTGAAAGGGGTTTACTGTGCTAAAGTTCATTTATTTTAAATTAATCTGATTTCCCTCTGTATACTTCTTGATAACCTTTCGATGTAACACTTTGTTTTTTCTCTCTTTCGGTCTGTTTCCCTTTTTTCTCTCTCCTTCGTGTGTGTTTTACGTTAGACTTTCTGTATGTTAAAAACTTAAATGGGTGTGATTGGGAATCCCGATCATGTATCACAAACAGTTGGGGTCACAGATCACCACATTATAAGTGATCGTGGTACAATGGGGCACTATAGCAATGTCTGGATAAAAATCTGAATGACTGAGCCGGTAGGCTTGGCTCCCTATATATATGCCAATGTTTAATTTTCACTTTAACTTCTGTACAAGCAAAAGAAAAAGGCTATAGCTGACTCGGTTAACATTTGAGGGTTAAGGCTTTATTATCCAGAGCTCCACAGGAGCAGATTGGGGAACTCTGTCCCTCTCCTCGTCATCTAGAGAATGAGATGATGGAAACTTGAGGCTTTTATGTTCTCGGCTTTCAGACAAGTTGTAAATACATGGAATTCTTCATCCCGCCCACACAAGAGTGATTATTTTCCAATCAAGTGAAAAACTGAGGTGTGTCACTGACACACAAGCAACCAGTGCAGTTTAACAAAACAGCTATGCAGATCTGAACGCAGGATATGCGTCTTTTCTCTATGTTGCCTATGTGTAGGGAATACGGCACACGCTGTATGCTGCATGGCACGTATAGGGAACATTGCACATATATTGCATTCAGGCAAGATTATACTAGACAACCTAGTTCAGCTAGAAGATGGCACATTGGCAGCATGCCGTCCACATCATAACCGCATTCTGAGCTCACCCATCACAGCGGAGTCTAAATTTTTGGTGTGTAGACTTGTAAGCAGGAATGTTTAGAGCAGCAAAAGTAGACCTTGACACTTCTACATTTCATTGTCCATTACCGGATGCATACATACTAAGCATGTGGTGTCCATAGTTATTATTATACTGGATTTATATAGCACCAGCAGTTTGCACATAATTTTACAAAATGAAGGAAGATAGCACAGTTACAATACAATTCAATACAATAGAGTTAGGCGGCATTCACACAGGGCATTTATCTTCATTCTGGAATTCTGCAGTAAGACCATATGGATTACTCGGTGTACATGTTCATATGCGGCTGCTGTATATATTCAAGCAGATCCATTTTAGAAAGTCAGGATTTTGATAGCGCTGAACCCAGAAGTGCTCAGAGCTGAGAGGACATCATAGAATGGATGTTCTATGATGTCCTCCCACTCACCATCCTTACAGCATTTATTGTAGTTCTGTGCTCCGAGGAGGAGAAGGAGAACTTGGGAACAACAAAGCAGTGAGGGTTCCCATAAAAGTGATTGGTCGACTCCAAAACTGCTTAGATAACTTTAACTTAAAATGCCAGTATCTGGCTGAAGGCAGGATGTATGACTTACATCCAGAATCCTGAAGCGGTTAAAGTGAACCCTTCAGTAACTTTACAAGTTTGTATGAGTAATTTCTGGTCACACTACATGTTACAATATACATCAACAGTATGATGTTTAAAAGCATAAGAATTGCATTATCATTAAAAGGCAGTCGCTGAACTCCAGTCAAGTGACTCTGCCTAGACTAAGATCATGTCATCAGTCTGCTGCAGGCAGCATAAAGCATTTCCTCAGTATTTTCTACAGTATTTCCTCATACTGTAGCATTATAGCAAGTGACAAGGTGAGAGGTTGCAACAGGAGGCCTATTGGTGTCCGACATTTGTGAAAACAGCCAAGAACTGCACAGGCAGTTTACATTATTGTGCCATCTCTTACCATGTTGATCCTTAAAGGAGAACTATGAGGTGAGTGTTTTTCACTCACCTCATAGTTCTAGCCGACCTGTGACAATGAGACTGTCACAGGTCGGCTCAGTAGATCGGGAGGTGAGCGAACACATACCGGCGTTCGCTCACCTCTCGATCCTGTCACGGCTCTCTGCCGTGACAGGGGAGGGGATGGATTCCCCCCGCTCCGATCCGCCAGCGCTGACTGGCGGAACGGACGGGGGAGGGGGCGGGTACAACTGGCTCTGCCTCTAGATAGGCAGAGCCAGCTGTCAGTCACGCAGCTGGGCGGATCCCGGCACAATTGTCGGGATCCGCTTCAGCTGCGGCGTCTCAGTATACTGCGAGCAGCTGCTTGCAGTATACTGCGGCGTCTCAGTATACCGCAAGCTACAGCTCGCGGTATACTGAGCCTAGGGTGACGGGAGGATGCTAGTTTGTGTCCTCCCGTTACCCTAAGGAGAACTATGGGGAAAAGCCTTAACGCCATAGTTCTCCTTTAACAAAGATGCTGCAGTCTATCTGTGAACAAGGGAAGATGAAGTTATTGTCAGGGGGGAGTGGTAAGTGTTACATTTACACATTGATTAGCATGCATTCACTTAAGGTTTACTTTACTACTAGGTCCACTTTAAGGATGATTACCGTAGGATGACTTTAGGAAAGCTTGCTATAACTTTAATGGTTTCTTTACATCCACAGTTAGTGACCAGCTATAGGTTAAGCTGATTGCTATTGTATTTCTTCCTCTTAACATGTTTGTGTGGGTGTCTTGGAGATCTGTTATGAAATATTAATTCCCAGTTATTTCATATTTGCAGTCTTAGATAAGAAATACGATAAGACTGAAATCAGCTACAGCCTGCTTCCCACTTCAGATTTGGCCACCCCGGCCTCAGTGCTAAATCAGTTACATTCAAGTGTGCTGGAGTAATTCCAGCAATACTAAATTTCTTGTCCGATAAATGATCAGCAGTTATAAGTCCAGTTTTTTTTATACATAAATATATCTAACAAGTTTTTATCTTCTCCCCAGCAGGACGCCAGGATCAAGTTTGAATACAATGGAGAAAAGAGGTAGGTCACTGAATTATATGACCACAGGCGGCTAATTTCAAAATCATCATCATTAAAATTACCTAAAAACAGATTACAGGAAACAAATGTCTGTTTTGTGTGAGATTGGACAGAAATAAATCTCCTCTTTGTAGTGCGGACACTCCTAGGATTGGCTTTTATAGACCAAGCTCAGTAAGTAGCGGTTGGTCACATTCAACTAGACTTGTTCTGCAACATTGATACCATTATACCACTAATTAAGGTGGCTTCCTCACTTCAAACAAGTGTTGGATACATACCCCAAGCATTTATAGCCACACGAACATCCAAGTTACCTTCATCCAATCATTAAGGTTAGGGATGCATCGATACCAGTATTTCGGTATCGAGCACCGGTATTTTTTTTCGGTACTCGCCAATACTGATTACTAATACCGGAAGTCCCATTAAGGAAGCCAGGCGGCATGTAATGACTCACCACCTAGCTTCCTGATTAGCAGGGAAGCTGTCTCCATACTCCCTCGTCACCATTGGCCAGCTTCTCGACTAATCAGGAAACCGGGCAACGCGTCATTACACGGCGCCCGGTTTCCTGATTGGCCGGAAATCCAGGTGACGAGGAAGCATGAAGCCGGCTTTCTGACCAATCAGAAAGCCAGGGGGCATGTAATGACACGCTGCCCGACTCCCTGATTGGCCACAAAGCCGACTCCATGCTCCCTCTTCACTTGTGACAAGGGAGCATGGAGCCGGCTTCCCGGCCAATCAGGAAGCCAGGCAGCGTGTAATGACTCACTGCCCGGCTTCCTGATACCGGAAGCTCAAGTATCGGGCTAGGCAGGAATACTCGCCCAAATACTCGGCACCGATACTAGTATCGGTACATCCCTAATTAAGGTATCAAGAAATGTTTCAGAATTGATTGTCCAAGAAAATGATGAGTGGCGAAATGTCTTCAACATAACAAAACAAGTGCAGTTATATGTTACTGACTTCTAGTAGTTATACCATGACCTGAATCAAGGAGACCCGGTACACACAATCCAAGAACAGCGTTTAAGATGAACTACCATTGTGTTCAGGATATGAGAATTTTCCATATATTCCTAAAGACAGCTAAGGGAGTCACACTTCTTCAATCCAAAGACATAAAGAGATGTTCTTCTCTTCTTTATATTGGCCTGCAACATCAGGACAAGCCTTTTGGGACTCTTGTTCATCACTCTCCTATCTTGGAATGTCTTTAATTCGTTACTATATTAACTGTTTCCTACCCAGTGCTGAAGTTGACCCTGAGATTCTGACTGCCTGGGAGTTATTGTCAACAACAGAGAAGATCCTGATAATACGAAGCTTAAAGCAGAACTATGGGCAAAACTGTTCTTAACTTGTAGTGGGTTCACAATGCAAGGGTTAAGTGCCAGTTTTTGTCAGAGTCGGCTTGCTCTTGGAGTGGTTCCTGAAGCTACTCCCCCCCTCCGCTGCAGCAGTTTAAGGTCCCGTAAGTCATCATGTCCTATAGACACTGTGTAGGATGGAAGGACGCCAAGGGACATGCCATTGCTGCAGTGAAGAAGGAGTCAGGCTGGAGAGAGCTCTGAACACCCAGCCAGCTTCAAGGTTCGGGAGAGTATAACTTTTTTTATTTTAGCACCTAGACAAAAATGAGCACTTGCACTGCAGTGCCAGGGTATACACTGCAAGGGTTAAGAACAGTTTTGCCTGCTTTAATGACAAAACTAATATGCTCATCTGTAGTAAAATAAAAATAGGTGTAATTCCTGCAGCTATTTTAGCAAAATTTTGCGAATAAGTACCAACTAAGAATTACAATCTTAGCGTTGATTAATGGCTGGCATTCCATATGGCACTCAGAGTTATTACAGAGGGAATCCTGACCAGAGTGATTCCCAACCCCCTATAGTGGTATATAAAATGTGACGTGCTTGTGGTTACAAAGAAAAATATAGAGAAAACTGGAATACTCTGAGTCGCAGTGGAAAGTTTTGACAGTCTGCCAGATCCTACCCCCAGGTGTCATTCTGTTACCGGACATCACTATCAATATAAAAAACGGTTGTACGTGCCACAGCCATTAGAGGGATATGTCTGGACCGGCTGCTCCAGACAAAATAAGACTTCCAGTGAATTATGGAATTAGTTACAAATGATCTGGGTGAGAGGATAGGCAGATGTGAGTCACCTAAAGAAACGCCAAAAACAGGAGAGGCCAGTGCCAGAGACTGACCAGCTACCACCACGTCTTTAAGGAATTTACTAAGAATAATTCCTTTTGTATAACTCCTGCATTTCACTACAGCATATCAGCATATCTGGTATGGGGTTAGCTTTTACTGAAGTTTGGAGTAGTGTTCCTCAGATATACCAAACAGAAAGCGAAAAATTATCCTTTTCACCTAACGAATCCAAGTACATGAATAAGCCTTTTCTATGGCAGTTAGTAGGGGACATGTTACCTGACCCCATAGAAGTGACTGTTTGCTTCTGGAAGGCACTCAAGGGTTCTTGATTTTTATGTTGCTTTTATTTTAGGCTCACTATTTTGTAATACCCATTAAACACTTTTAATGAAAGTAGCAGCTTTTGTTTAGCATGTTTTGTGCAAAATTGCACAGTGCAAAAATGTTGGATATAGGTTTTCCTTTTAAAGTAGTAATAAACTCCCAAACTCCTATCAATAATGAGTCCAGAGCAAACAAATATACATTTCCCAGCAAAGTATTTCTTTAAAGTTTTGCCGAAGCACCTACAGTCATTATTGTTTCCGAACAGCTCTCAGCTCTCAACAGTTCCCAGCAGTTCCTTTCTCAGGTCCACTTTCTTGAACTTCCTTTCGACTACAAGATCAAAAAGCATAGCACAGTCTCCAGCAGCTGTCCATTTACAAGCTCCACAAGGAAGCAGCACACCAACCAATACTACCCCCACCCCCATCTCTGCCACCCAATCCCTTTATACCCTCTTAAACAACAAAAAAACCAACAGTCCCAACCCTTTCCAGAGAGTGCTGCATTACTGGATTGCTCTTTGAGCTTTCCATTTACAAGCTTGGAGAAGGAAGGAGTGGGGGACAGGGAACAGGAGAGTGTTTTGACTTGCTGTGCCTGTGTGTTTGTGGAGACACACAGCACTTACTAGGAAACACGAGGGTGGCTCCACATGACGCTGCAAGGGAAAGGAGCCACCCTAAAACAGGATATCAGAGCCAATGCTAAAGGGACTATCTTATTCTGCAGGAAGCTAAAACTTTTATACATCAAAAAGCAGCAACCATTGTTGGTGATTTCATCAGTATTTGAAATATAGTAAAACCTGTTGATTTTAATATCACTAACTCCTGTTCTAGAGACATGACAGACCTGATGAGGATTGTAGGCTAAAATTCAATGTGATGGGCAATAAATGTTCAACAACTGTGCGCAGAGAGGAGTGGGTGGACTTGAATGCGGTGACCCTTCTATATACCAATGGGAGCCAGCCGATGTCAAATTCATAACATTATATTTCCGGTTAAAGTGTATGTAAAAACTTTTTACAATTTTGGACAGAGTTTTTGCTTGTTTACATTTGGGTAGGTTAGAAAATGGTTATGTAGGTTATCAGGTTTTTCATTTCTGTTTGTGCCCCATTGGGAATATCCCAGAGACACAGCAGGAAGTAAGGAAGAAAAAACGTTGTCTTTGACAGTTGTCACTAGAACAGGTTCACCCATTGGAAGATTTCCCCTTCACCTACTGTTCCTGTGACAGCTATACCAGAGATAATGTTCACTAGAACCTGACACGGGTTGTAACCCTTTCCACATTGTAGCCAAACCAAAAAAGATGCACTTCCACTTGAAAATGGGAAATCCAAACAACAAGAAAAAAGACTCCATGCTGGGCATTGTAAAATAAGGACCTCAGATGGGCTTTGTAAACATGGAGAGTGAGACTCTCCTGATGGGTTTCCAGTGGCAGAGGAGTGGTAAATGGCTGGCATGTTAATCAATTTCCAACCTCAACTCCACACCCAGCAGCATATGTATGAGTAATGACCAATATGTGTCTAAAGTCAGAAGCTCCTTACATCCAAAGTGCAGAATCACATTTGATACAAATAAAGTGTTTCTTGTGAGTTTATGCATATTTTGGTTACAAATAATGTTCTAGTGTAAATATGCCCATTAAAATGATGGTGTGACAGATTAAAAGGCAACCCACAAAAGTGGGAAAGGCTACCCTGAACCCCAGAAAAGGCATATATATGAATATAATTTAGGTATATGATATTCATAAGGTTATCGACAATGACTGTTCCTTTTTTTGCATAACTGTATTTGTTTTTAGTTCTCTCTTCATATTTGAAACATTTTAGTTCCCTGGGAACTGAAATTTGCTTTGAACCTAACTTTCGATTGAAATGCAACTAAATATTTCAATCTAGGACATAATACTTAGGGGTATATTTATAAAACAATGAATCTGTCATTCACCAAATATTGACTGCAGTTGAACCTTTCTGGTGCTTGTTTTAAATGACAGTGATTGATTCACCACCAGTGAGTGTTTGGTGAAAGTCACATTTACTAATGCCCGCTATATGCTGACAGCACAGAGCCACGCCGTATCCAGGCAGGATCCCGCCAGTATTGTCGGGATCCACCCCGCTGCCTGATTGACAGCTAACTCTGCCTCTCTAGAGCCACAGCCAGCTAAGCCCGCCCCCCCCCCCCGTCTGTCCCTCCAATGAGCGCTGGAGGAATAGAGAGAGTGGAGGGGGAGATCCCTGCAGGTAACAGTGGCTAACAGTCACTTCCATCTGCAGGGAGAAGACCATGTGAGCAATCAGCAGTTTGTTTTCGCTGAGCCCTCGCTCTATAGAGCCGGCATGTGACAGCTGCAGTGCCCTGAACTGGCTCTAAGTATTGGGAAGAGAACATTTTACTCTCCCAATACTTCTCCTTGAATAAATACAACACAATTCTATGTTGTAAAGAGGTAAATGGCAAACATACAAAATGAAGAGTCCAGTGGCTCTTACTAATCAAATACACAGATTGGATTTCTTGATACACAAATTTGACTTGATATGGGTTGATTGGCTGATTTTTTTTTCCAATGAAATGTATTTACTTATTTTTCTAACCTATTCACAAAAGATGTTTCTATTTTAATGATACATTTTATTTTTTAAAGGTGTTTCAATTAATATTAGCACTCTGCACAGATCCCTTCAGTGCGCATACACAGCATAACATACAGTACATGCGCTGTGGATGCAGTATATCACATAGTATACGGCTAGTCTTTTGTACTAATATGGATGGATTACACCTGTCAATCTCTCCTTATGAGCAACAGTCAGGCCTCACTAATGTTGGATGGCTATTGAAACAAAGGCAGGGTTCTGCAGTGGGCACTGACCCAAATGTTAAATATGCAAAATTTTATATTGGACAAAATCATAAACTTGGTACACTTAATATGTATTTTGCCTGATAGGCACATAGGTCATGTATGACCAGTCTTATAGATGATAACTATAATGCAGTACATGAATCATGTCTGTTTCTAATATACCTGATTTTTGTTCCCCCCCCCTGTTTTTTAGGATTATAGAATTCCGGAGGCCAGTAAAACTCAAGGATGTGCTGCAGAAAGTTACAGATGCCTTTGGGCAAACAATGGACTTGCACTATGCAAACAATGAGGTAATGTGTGCTTTGTTCCACTGGAGACTCAGATGTCAGATCAGTTCCTTGTGTACAGTGTCTGCATGTCCTGGTCTGTGTCAGTGCTGCAGAATCACTGCTATTAAGCTGTATGCCATGAAATTAGTGACTTCTGGGAGTTAAAGCCCAATTCCATTTTAGAAAATGTGAGGAAGGTCAGATTTTAGTTCTGTCTATTATCCCAGTAAGGATATTTCCTATCACTTCCTGTCCTCATGACAAGGAATGAGAGGCAGAAAGACACAAACAGCAATAAAAATGTCAGAGGTTCTAACCATTCCCCACTCAGCTAAAAATGTTTGTGTTGCAATCTGTGTCCACATTGGAAACATCCCTCCACTTCCTTCCATAGTGACACCCTGTCACCTGGACAGGAAGTGAGAGGAAATATCCCCAATGCAACATACTGTAGCAAAAGAAGACTTACAAAGGCTGGCAACCTGTACCTTTTTATCCAAAAAAAATGCTTGGCTGGAGTTTAGCTTGAAATAAGGATATGTAAGCACCTCTATGCAAGCATATTGGCCGAGTAGGTCAGATTGAGGAGCAAAAAAAAATAAAATGAAAGCTTTTCTGCGCAGTGTTAATAAAAAAAAAAAAATCCATCGTAGCTAAGGTTCCCCTTCAACCCGTTTCTTCATTTTCTTTTTCTACCTTCCCCTTTTTTTACTATATCATTCCTACCCCTGACCCTCGCTTTTCTGTCCTCCCTCATCCCCTCATCCCCTCTTCCTTACCCCCCATCCTTCCTCCTAAAAAACACATCTTCCTGTTTTCTTAAGCTGATGTCTGTGCTCACACCATCCCTCCTCCTCAAATAGTTTCACTGAATAATCACTGAAAAGTTTCATAGCATTTAAAACCATAACAAATAGCGACTCACATGGTCTTAGTGCATGTTAACAGACATCAGTATTGCACATAAATCACGCATAAAACTATCCGTTCCAATAGCCTGTCAATTCCCAGACTCAGATTGCGTAACTTAGCTCTGACTTGACGCATTTCAAATGACTTCATTTCATCATGTGAGTCATTATTTGTTATGGGTTTAAATGCTATTAAACGAAAGATTTTACACTATCAGTTCTTTATGAATGTGAGCACTACATAGTTATTATTTTATGTTCAGAGTTTATCATTTGTAAAACTCAAGGGCCAGCATGGTGGCTTAGTGGTTAGAGCCTCTGCCTTGCAGAACTGGGGTCCCTGGTTTGAATCTTGCCCAGACCACTACCTGCGTGGAGGTTGCTTATTCTCCCTGTTCATGTTTCCTCCCACACTTCAAATATATGCCAGTAGTTCACTTGGCTACTGTCTAAATTGGCCCTAGTATGCCTCTACAAATTGGCAACGTGCATGCGTTATAATATTCAGCATGCCGGTCCCAAGCCAGTTTAAGAGCTGGTTCATGTGAGACGGCCACATTAAATGCACGGCCTGTGAAACGCTGCTGATCCTGGCACATTGCACTGTTTGCCAAAAGAAAAACAAACACACATAGAAGGGAGGATTAATAGTGCCAAAAAGTGTTTATATTGGTTACATCTCATTGCAGCTAACCATAAGCATGGCCCACTATTGCTTACCATACCGGTATATCGCTGACAATAAAAGCCCCAATATCTGGTCTATTTTCAAGCTCTAGTACTCTTTAGTATGCTTTAGGACTACTTAAAGCTTGTAGTCTGCTAAAGCCTGCTAGATACTTGTTTCTAATGACAGTCAGCACTCCATTAAGATGTATGTTTACCATCTACATACTGGCAGTGAAGTTTGCTTTAAAGTAGTACAAAAAACCTACCCCGCACTGCAAGAGTTCAGGGCTCGTTTTGTCTAGGGGGCTCAAATAAAGCTGCTTTACTTAGCTGATCCTCGTGCAGCTGGCTCTCCCTGGGCTGCTAGATCAGTCCCCGCAGCTTCTTCCCTGGGCCCCGGGGGCTAAGGACTGCTGACGTCATCACGTCTTATGCAGGTCACTTGCATTGAGGGACATTGTGCCAGCTAGTGTGGAAGGGGAGAGAGATGATCGCTGACTGCCTTGGGGCCGTGGATCAGATGAGTAGAGCCCCCTAGACGAAACAAGCACTTAACCTTTAAAGTGTGGGGGTACCCCACTGCTAGAGTAAGTTTTTTCTTTTCCCATTTCTTTAGAGGCATCAACAATGCCCCGGAAGCTTGCTAAAGTCTTTGCCAGTGTTTTTTTAAAGAACTTGCTTTACACATGTATGTTTACATATGCAGTATCTTACATGTGTAAAGCTTTAGAAATGATGTCTTAGATCATTTCCTAATTAGAGGAAGCTGCTCTCGGCTACAGGAAGAGATTTCCATGTTCAATTCAAGTGTTGTCAATAAGGAACCACCACTTCCTCTGTACCCAATCTGATGCTATGAAAGTGTATTGATTATTTGTATTGTGAACAGCATTCATCTTTAAATTAGGCATAGCATTGGAAAAGTACGACACCAACTAAATGATATAAAGTCACTTTAAACTGCATATTACTGTGTATTCTTCCCGTTCTGCACACCGTCTGTGTGCAGTCCTGATGTTTGAGTTGTCCAGAGGTCCTTTCATGACATGAGACAATGGCCTGTTCCGTTTTCCCACTTCTTTTATTTTGATTGGCTTCATATGATCAGAGCAGCGCAGAGTAATCGGATTGCAAGCCAGGCCTGCCTTAAAGTAGACGCATCGCTTACACGAGGGAAGCCGTCATTATTGGTCTCGTGTATGAAGCATCTAACTGTATATCTGTGTGGTCCTTAGCAACCTGGAAGGAAGAAGCAGACTGGCTGCTCGGAGAAAAATACAGAAGGTGGGATTTATCAAAACTGGAGTAAACAGAATCTGGAGCAGCTATACATGGCAACCAATATGCTTCTATCTTCCATTTTCAGAGATTAACTGAACAAACTGAAGTGAGAAGCTGATTAGTTACTATGGGCAACTACTCCAATTGTGATAAATCCCCCCCCCCCAGGGAGCAGAGTATAAAACTTTGCATAGTAACCAATCACCTTGTTCAGTTAAGCTTTGAAAATAAAAGCTAGAAGCTGATTGGCTACCATGGGCAACTGCTCCAAATTCTGTCTGCTCCAGCCTTGGTAAATTCCCCTCTTAGATTCTTTTATATGTGTTTTTTTTCCCATGCTCATAATTGGTGAAATGTCTGAAAAAAAGAACCATTGTGTTGCCCATAGCAACCAACCAGTATCTGCCTCCTTAAGACATAAATCTGCCACTGCTGAGTTTCACCATCAAAAGGCCTAGCCATGGTTCCTACATTTCCCTATACTTTCTGCAAGGAGACCTTTTCAGGATATAAATAAATGTGAATATTTTTAGTTTGGTTCATTAGTGTAGAGCATTGCAGTGATATTCCATCACAAATCCTTTAGTAGTAATCCAAGACACAAAATAATAAAATATCTGTTCTAGTTCTAGTTGTAAATCATAGACTTAGTTTTAGTTTGTGGCACATTTGGCAGAACTGCAGGAAAGTTGCTTTGGCCTGGGCAGGCATTTTCCATTTAGCGGTGCCTAGCGTGTACCATCTTTGTAATAATAGTCGCACTGTAAAGTACTGTAAGGAACAAGAAAAGGTTTTCTTGTAGATTAGTAGATATGGTTTTCATGTTTGCTGTACTCAGAGCGCCCTCTAGTGCTACAATCATAGAATACACTGTAATGGTATATGGTCTGTGTATTTCCCTGCTCACAATTATCACAATGATCATCTTGTGTTAACAGCTGCTTCTTCCGCTCAAGTACCAAGATGACTTGGACAAAGCCATAGAACACATGGACATGAACCCATCCCACAGAAGCTTGAAGATAGTAGTTAAAGCACCAAGTAAAAATATAGTGAGTAGAATCTTTGTTACCAAGAGTGAATAATTATGTATTATAACAATTTATTCTTCTTCAGCTGACTGTTTGCATGCCTTCAGCAGAAGTACATTTATGTATTGCACTGACTCTATATTAGGTCTGCTTGTTATAGATTGTTCTATATACACTTTACAATATATCTTATGTTATTTTCTTCCCAGCATCTCTTAATGTTCATGAGACTACTGACACAGCACATGCTCATAGCACATCCAAACATATCCCCGGCACATACATTATCCCAGAATGCACTGGGTATTCTTGATTGTATCTACTTAATCAAATAAGGGTTATTCAAAATCATATGACTGCAATTAACTCTATTTTCACATTACAGCACCTACAACCAGTTGGGACAAAGCAACACCACGACATGAGGATATCAAAGTCAATGGGTGATATTCTGGGATCACTGTATAAGGATGCTGGAAAGGGCAGAAAGTGTTCTACAGGTAAGTTCTTGGATATGAATATGATTATTTTTTACAGATATGTCTTCCACTGCATGTTACTGATACACGTTTATGCATGTATATAAACAGTATGTATCTCTATGATACGCTGAGTCTTTGTAGATAATTGAGGACATGGTATGGTTAATATATCCTCAATTACGAATGAATGGGAAGTGCTCTACATCACCTCCTGTTCATTCATAGTTGTGGTTATAGTAACCATACTCTGTCCTCATGTTATGAATGAACAGGAACACTCATTATAGAGGATTCCTGTTCATTGATAAAAGGGGCTGCAAAAAAAGAGATTGAGGACTCGGTGTCCTCAATCTCTTTTTCTATTTTAAAATTGAAATATCAGGGGTCTGTTTAGACCCCTAATATTTCCCCAAAGCCCCTAAGAGTAAAGTAAAAAATAAAAATATTTAATAAAAAATGAATTAATACATATAATTTTTTTTAAAAGTTAAAAATGAATTAAAATATAAACATTTTTGGTTTCGGCCTGACAATTTTTTTTGTTTCGTTTTGGTTTTTAAATTTCTATTTCGGGGCACCTCTAGTGTAAACATCTACTACATGAAGCATCACATTTTTCATTCTAACTCCTATCCTTATCCTCCATGTCGGGAAACTTGTAGGTAGATCCATAGCAGGAAGAGTGGGGTAGGGTGTCTACTGAATGGAGCCACCAGACTATGCAGATGAAATTCAGTCTACTTTTATTCTAAAGGTTCTGTTTGGTAGACTGTGGACAATTGCTTACAACCAGAAGGCATGCTAACTGTAGGAGCGTGTCCTAGTATTATTTTTTGTGTAAATTGTCACATGATATAAGTAGAGGAATGAAGAGGTGAAGTCTGCACATAAAGGTCTCATCACTCAGAGTTAGTTCAGCATGAACAGGGTCAGCGCACACCATTGTGATATCCTGGCAGCTACGCCTGCCAAATGCAAGTTATAAGGATCTGTACATGGAAACCCTTCTGAGTGATGGACACAAAATGATTCCGCCAGTCAAGGCTGGATGTAATACAAAAATGTCCAGCAGGAGAAGTCTTTTTTTTAATATAACAGTAAGTATAACTGGAATTTAATCACATAGAGGTTGTAACAGAACCCTTTCCCCAAAACATTTATTTCCATACCCTACATTAACCTAATAAAAACTATATTTATGCTGTCACCTATGACAGTAGCAATTCTGGTAAAACTTATAACTTTACCTGGTAATTCAAATGGTTATTCTTTTATTTTCTGCCTGCACAGGATCTCTACACACTGGACGGAGTTCTCCCCCTCCTGGAAGTGTTCCTGATGAACAACAGCAAATTGCACGTCAGAAATCCATTACCAGTATCAACAGTGAGGGAGAATTCATTCCTGAGGTATCAACTCCATTGTGATCAATAACAGAATTGTAACTACAGCTAAAAAGGACAGATTTAAACAAAAACGGTTTTCTTTAACATATACTTTAAGTGAAAAGGTATTATTTTACTTTTATGAACAAACATTTTAGTTATAAACAACACACATAATATGTATGCACAATGGAGCAACCAGCTGAGGTGATTACATGCTTTGTAGTGCTGCATAGTGATTGTGCATTCCTGCTCCTCACTGTCAGGCAGCTCAGATTCATTGACAGTAATACAGTGCCTAGATGAGTTTATCTCAGCAGTCACTCATCAAGACTGCTAATTGTGTAATCTAATATACAGATACGCCACTCGAGGGAGTGAAATACTCACATTGGACACACAGATACATTGTATTTGTTCCCAGTGATGAAAACTAAGGTGCATAGCATATGGTTAAGCAATGTTTTGGAAAGTAACAATACAGTTATCTCCCCCATTTTACGGCATTCAAGCAACGAGAACTCTTAAGCAACCAGAAAAAAAAAAATCGAGGACAATTTTTTACCAGTTGTTAGCAACCAAATTTATTTAGCTGCTAACTAAATTCTCTGTTTACATCTTGCTGTGGCCGGCGGCTAGATTCCTCAGCTGTCAGGTTAATGAAAGCAACGGGCAGTGGGCCTGCTATTGGCTATGAATACTTGAATTAGCCAATAGCAGAATCTAGCCAACAGATGAATGGGGTGGGTTGTTGCTTGAGAGTTAATAGTAACTCTCAAGCAACCAGAAACTACAGTTATTCGGCATCTACCAATCCCCATGGGTACTGGATAACTGGGAGTTTACTGTATATCCGTTACATTAAACCCTCCCATACCAGAACACATAAACAAGTCCTAAATTAAGCCCTCAACACTAACCCAAAATACCCTATTATTGTGCCTATTCATTTCATCCTGCCATGATAGCAAATGGTGTCCAGTAGAATCCTGCAGCACTGAGATCCTGGCACCAAAATAACCTGATCAGTCAGTAAATTTAAACATCTAATTTTCTGGGAAGCTATTCATGGTTTTACATGCATCATTTTCAATGGGATACATGAGAATGGCTTGCGTCAAAACTGACATTTTTGTTATAGGTTTAGTAGTCCTAGGTTATTTGCACACAGCTGTCATTTCTGCTGTCTTTTCCCATTTTAGCCAGAAATAGTTAGGAGAGGCAAACCAGGGTCAGTAGCACTTAAATAATAGTAGTTCTCTGCGAACAATGGATATCGTGTCTCCATTGCTGCGGAGGTGAAACAAAGGAACCTGCATTTGATTTGCCTCTGAGTGTACAGACTGTGTAGATTAATACTTATGACGTGTTCCCTACCCAAGTCTCAGGGATTAGTCTTCTCTTGTGAACTTTCATGGTTGAAATAATTTAATTTTGCTATTTTGTATTATCTTCCCAGGTGTTGGATTCCTTCATTAGCCCAAGTGGCTCTCTCTCCAGTAGCTGTCATTCACTGGACCAATCACTGGACAGGTGATCTTCTGAGTTCCTTTTGTTAGGATGTATTAACATTTTAAATAGCCTTAGGACTTCCCTGCATGCTCTACTTCCTTCGTTAGGGCTCTGGGAACTGCACTGTAGTTGTTGAAGTCACTAAGTTATGAAAAAAAATGTGCTGAACCCAGAAAGAGAAATAATAATAATAATAATGATTTTAAGGTGCTTTCCTTGTTAAAGATTTAAAAAAGGTGATCTTAGATTTTAAAGTATCCTTGAACCCCATGTGTTCCATTATTCAACTTCAATTTTCTGGAAGGGAAGAAAAGAGCTGACGTCCCACCTCCTGCAACTCATTGTAGGTCCTTCAGTGCGAGGGACAGACTCAGTGACCAGTAAGGACTTTTGTTTATTATCCCCAATGGTTCCTGGGGCACTCTGGAAAAGATGTTAAGGTATCACATTCATTCTCATTATGAGATACCTATGAGAAAAGATGTGCAAGTGCAGCCAAAACTTTTTTTTGTTGTGGATAGAGTGGGGATAGTTCCAAACAACATCTGTTTTTTACTTTTATCTGGAGCTTTGTTAGAGAGATTTTCTCTCATTTTCTATAGTAGTGACAACTACATTCTGCGACAGGGACACAGGCACCAGTACAAAGCTGACAGTGGTTCTAGCCGTCCCCTACTGTACTAAAAAAATGTTTCGTTATCATCTGTGTCACTGTTTAAAATTTTCCATCACTTCCTGTCTACTGATCGGTGTCACCGGCTCAATAAGTGAAGGTAAATCTCTCAAATGGAGTCTCAGAGAACAGCAAAGCCCAACAAGGGTTCTAAATAGACTTCAACCATTTTGGCTAGACATATACTTTAAATAGTCATTTTCATTCATATCGCTCAATGATTGTAAATGCTTCTAGAAAGTCTCTTTTATATATTAATTGAAAACAATCCTCAAATAAATATTTTTTGGTAATCAGGAACCTAAAAAACACCACTAGGTAACGAAATGTTTAAAAGTAGATGTTTTTATAAAACTGCACCTGCATGAGTGCCATGCTTACTATGGGATTGCTGTATTGTAAAATAAGATGGATTCTGAAGCTTTTTTAGGGCCATTCGTTCCTTAAAGTCTCCTAGTAAACATGCGGTCAGCACTTCCAGGCTGTTGTCTCTGTGTCAGGTGACCTCAGGGAATAAGGACATGTGATGAGCTGTAAAGCAGCAGGAGGTTATGTTCCTCAGAAGAGAGTCTAGTATGTGGGATGAGGAAGCTGGGAAAACCTTTGCTCACTGCTGGGTGTCTCTTGGGTAAACATTCCTCACATAACTGAGGCAACGAGGGACAGAGACTGGCAACACACACGGAGCTAGATTAAGAAACAGCAACGTTTAAAGTATATTTCCACTTTCCAATCCAAATTGGGATAACATTTGTTACACGCACCCAATGCACAGAGCATTTAAAAAAAAATATTGAACACATTGCTGCTGTATGGGTTCACTTGCAGACATTTCCATTTATTAAAGCCTGAGTACATGATAACCAGCCATGCAGCTATTTACATTGCTGATTGGTCATTTGGGGTTACACATATGAGAAATACATTTGCTGCTGCTAAAATCACACATCTTCTTCTTGCATTTGGCTAAAGCTAAGCTACAGGCAGATATAATGAGTTCTATATTCATTAATATATGCTTTTTTTTTTTTTTTTAAATGCAAGCACTTAAATTTGACTTGGTTTGCAGTCTCTATACAGCAGCACTCAGACTGGGGAAGGGAAAAGCAGCACAATGAGTCAATCAGTTGTCTTGTAGTGCAAGGAACATGCTGATAGGAGGACATAAGCAGAGAGATGAGCCTATCAGTCGGCTGCTTCTCATTTCGCTGTCCATTCATAGACTAGGAGACGGATAACTGTTACTTAACTGCAGCAAAGGATACCAGGTGCCCTGCCCTGCCAGACAGAGCTATTCTGTGTGGCAGAGCTGTATAAATCTCAGGACTGGATCAACTGAAATATAAGTGCTTTAGCAGGTTACACGGCTCCCATATATGTATTTCATCTACATATTAGCTGTTTGCTTGGAGTTCAGCTTTTGAAGAAGTACTCAAGGCAATGGTTAATTGCTCATTTTGTCTAGGGGGCTTGAAGCTTTTTTTGCTTATCTGATCCCGGCTCCTGTGGCGGTCAGCACTCACTTCTCTCTCCCTCTGCTCGACCTATAAAATGTCCCTCAGTGTCTTCCAGTCTAATGTAGGTCAATGGACCAGCATAAGACGGAATGACGTTAACGGTCCTTGGACCGCCGGAGCCCAGGGGAGAAGAGGCTAAGGGGAACGCTCTAGAAGACCGGAGGAAGCCAGGATCAGGTAAATTAAGTAAATCTGCTTTATTTCAGCCCCTAGACCAAAACGAGCACTTAACCCTTGCAGTGTGGGGGTAGCCCCATTGCAAGGGTAAGTTTTTTTATTTGCCCTGAGTTATACTTTAATTCTTATAGAACATCTATGAGAATGGCTCTACTGAATGAACCTGCAGGCTGAACAAGAGAAAATCAGCCAATTTACCAATCCACGTTACCAGTTTGGATGGTGGAATCTCCACGGCTGGCCATAGAATTTAGGCAGCCACGGCTAATAGGTTACACAATTGTTTTCCTTTGCTCCAATTTTTATTTACCCTCCCTTATGTGTTTTGTATGATGTATAGGTCTGGATGTGTGTGTATATATATATATATATGCTGTATATACACAGAATCCACCTATAAAGAGACGCTTTCCAGATGTGTCTCGTTTCCTCGGCACCCGTGTGCACAGTTTGCATCAGGTCTCGAGGGGCAGGCACAGCTTGTTTTGCTGAATGTTTTCTTTGAACAGTCTTGTGGTCATTTTATTTCTGGGGAATCCCCATGTAACAGAATGGTTCTTGTTTTGGCCTGCAGCCCAGCTTTCTCTACGCCAGTTCCGAGAAGAAAAGGTCAGCTGAAAGACAGCTTCGAATGTTTAGGTAATACATTTCATGAAACGTAGGGAAAGTATAACTAGTATAACCTCTGTCCCTCTCTCTCCTTCTTAACCCTTCATGTCGGCGCGGGGTACGGGCTCAAATATCAGCTTCATGCTGGCTGTGTTTTCACGTTGCTAGAAAATAAAGACCGAGGTAGAGAAAGGGCTTGAGAGTTTGGGGATAACAGGAGAAATGTGAGCTGAGTGTCTCACAATCTATGTGGAAACATTGAGGTCTTCATATGTAAAAGTGGAGGAAGAGTTTGTGCTATTTGTAGCATTCAATCAGATTGCTGCTTTAAAAGTCCAACCTAGATGTGAAGTATGTCAAGTGGAATCTGATTGGTTGTTGCAGAACACAGATATATCAGTTTTAAAACAAGGATATATCTGTATATATATAGGATGTAGCAAAGAACATTTCCTGCAGAAATCATAGTGGTTCGTGCTACACAACTAACTATAAAAAGTATTCTTACTTTTTATTGTTCAAAATGTTTCAAAAAATACACTTTACTTAATTTGTGTTATAATTTCCCATCAGTAGTTACATAATATGCACAGATGTGACTTTATACAATGGTTTATTTTGCATTATTCTAATAAAAGCAAACTAGTTTATACTTTTTACTATTAAATGAATGCATTAGACATGAGCTGTTTTAGCCAGACTAGAGAATAATTTAATGTCTGGGCCCCTACATAGCTATCATACAACCAGGCTTCAGAGGAACAATTAAAGGAGAAGTATTGGGAGAGTAAATTCTTCCCAATACTTAGAGCGGAGCCCCATGCCAGCTCAGTTGATTATGAGTGATCATGTAACCTCTGATCGCTCAGCTCACGGTCTACTCTCTGCAGATAGCAGTGACTGTCAAGTCATCACTCCCCACAGGGTATCCACCCTTCCCTCTCTGTTCCTCCGGTGCTCATTGGAGCGGACAAACAGGGATGGGGGTGGCCACAGCTGGCTATGGCTCCAGAGAGGCAAAGCCAGCTGTCAATCAGGCAGCCGGGTGAAACCCGACAATATTGTTGGGATCCTTCCCAGCTGGGGCACAGCTCTGCACTGTCAGCATATAGCAGACAGTAGCCCACTAGTTGCTGATTTTGGATCACAGGACAATATTAATAAATATACTCCTGTGTGACCCAAGAGATGTAAAGTCAAAAAAATGTTAACTGGTTAAAAAAAGCTGTCTTAAGGGCTATTGTCTATAAGGGCTTGTTCACAACATCTCCAGACCAGATCCGGAACTGAAAGTTTTTGCACCTGAAATGCATCCCAATGTATCCCTATGGTATTTCTGGGCTCTGTTCACACCAGTGCAGTCCGGTCTGGTGCAGGAGGACACAATGCTACATGCACTATTTTTTCTGGTCTAGAACACACCAAAACACATGTAAACACATCAAAAACATATGCAAATGCACTGGACCACACCTGAAAACCCATTTTAAGCACAACGAAAGCATTGGAACGCATCAAAAATGCACTGCACCGCATTTTCAGAAATGCATCCAGATCTGGCCTGGACATGGTGTGAACAAGCCCTCAGTGTTAAGCCTGCACCAGTGCTTCACTCCCTGCTCCACCCCTGCAAATTTCTATTGTAATTGCTCAATTAGCATTGTTAACTAACATGGTGCAGTAGAGCAATCAAGTGCATATATATAGTCATTAAAGTTGGCGGATGCTACAAATGCTCCCATTGCAAGCAAGTTATATAAATTATTTTGTAATTTCAACAGCCCGAATCTGTTTAGATTTCTTAACAGTCCCCATGGTAATAGCAACAAACAAATTTGTTGACTTTATTCAGAATTGTCTACACTTAATGATGAAACCTTTCTAAGAATAGTCCGGTATTAGTCCGTACATACTCCGAGTCTGAGGACCTCATTATTCCAGCTCACAATATTTGTATTGTTTTCTGAAATGCATTGTTCTAATAATCATTACTGTTTTTAGATTATGAAGTTCCCTTGTATGAGAGGTTTGGTAAAGGAGGCACTTTTCCCCGTCAGTATCACTTTTCCCAAAGTCGGAAGGAATACAGTGATGGTGAGTGGATCAAGGTGGCCGGGAAAAATAAAGCGGGGGACCAGCCTATCTATATTAAAGAATGTTAAACATATACAATTTTACCATTTTATCTGGGGCACTTCATATTTAGTATTATACCTATGTCTTATCTGATGCTTTAGAGAGTTTAAAAGAATGAGTTCACTTTTAACAACTGTCAGCTTCTAGTATAAATCAGCCACTTCTCTGGTTAGCCATTAAGTTGCCAGCCACTGGTGTTTCCAGGGTACTTCTGTATTATAGATATTATGATGATAGAATTGCAGTCTTTTTAATATCAACCACATATAGGTAACACCGTAACAGTTACTTTTCATCACCAAGGTGCACTTATTTTTAAAACCTTCCCTCTAATTCATAAAGAACGTCGTAGATACACTTTAGATGCAACAATTGGTGGAACTTGCAACAGATTCAGGTACATGTCAGTGAAGTGTATATGAATCTGTCACAACTTTTACAGGCATATCTCCTGGGAAGTGTCGGAGCTTTAAAGGCAGAGAAGCTATTTGAAGAAGTTGGGAGAATAATGGAAACACATCAAATATCAGTTCTAGAGGAACTTAAAGACAAATTTTGTTGCAGAATTGTCTCAAAGATATGACATAATAACACATGCAACACAATCATCAATTTACTGCTACATGGACGAGGTCTTTTTTACCTTCACTTTCATATCCCTGATGTGGAGGTAATTAATTACAAATTTGTTGCAACAATAGCGCCTTACAGTAAAAGTGTTGCAAATAAGTGCTTCTTGAACATGTCACATTGTACTAATAATGAAAATGTCACAGGATTGTCATTCATTTGGCGCAAGACTTCCCACTACATACACGCAACATAAACGTGTCACAAATGCCTTGTTGAATTGCCCCCTTTGTTTTGCAATTTGTGGTTTTGTTTTCAACATCTAAGTCCCACTGCAGGGTTGCATGATCATTTGAGTTACAATCTGTATTTACTGCTGCAGTTTTAACATGCCCCCAACCTACAACTTCCTTACAGCTAACGTGTCCACCCCATTACCTACTGTATCTAAAATCCCCAAGCTACATAATTACTCCTCTACAACTAAGAGCCCCCTACTAATATGAGCCCATCAACCTGACACATAATGGCTCTAAGGGGAAGTGTCTTCTCCTCCAGGGCTCCACCACCTCTAGTCACAGGGAATTAACTGTGTGTGCCGTCCTCTGATTGGTATGTGTTAACCTGTCACAGAACATGAAGGCTCCAGAGAAGCTGCACATGTGACTGGCTTTGGGGAACACCAGAAGCCAGAAACCAAATATTTAGCTACTGGTGTTGAGGGTATTGGCGATGGAGAGGACATTTAGAAATGGCTAGGTTGGCACTATAGGTCCCCCAGGGAAAGGGACCTGGTTACAACGTCTACTTCTCTTGTTATGTCACTTTTTTCAATTATTTTCTTCATACAACGGACTATTGGTCTTTATCACTGTGTTGTGTAGGTCGCCGGACATTTCCTAGAAGTTACGTACCCCCAGAAAATGTCTTCCAGCTGGGTCCCAGCAGCAGAACCAGAAGCGTTAATGCAGACAGCACTCTGCAGTTTGACGAGCCCAGAAAAACGAGGTGGAGCAGCTCAGAAAAAAACTTACAATTTTTACATTCTTCACCTGCCGACCACTGCAAGAAATGTAAGCATCCAGTGTGTATATAGACAAGATGAAAAACAAAGCTCTTACAATTCACACATCTATTTTTGCATCAGAAAGAAAGAAACGTTAGATATATGAAAATGTTGAATTTTACAAGCTGCAGTCTCAGTATAGACAGCATTCTGATTGTCAGAAAACAATTCATATATATTGAACAGTTTGACTCAATGCACTGCTAACACACCTGGCCTGACATGCCTTCCCTCTACCTCTGCAATACAAGTCTGTGTAAGAGTAGTTGTGGCAAGTGATGTTGCTGCTTCTACTCTGCCAGCATAAAGCACTAGAGTGGAAGCACAGGAAGTGCATTTCCAATAAGAGTGAAGGGTATTTTAAGGCATTTACAATACGTTAAATATTCATAAGAAATATAAATTATATAACAGAAGTCAGTGCAGGACTATAATGAGATAAAAATAGGAGATGTAATATGGGCTTGTAAAATACAGCAAACTAGTAATAAAACCATCATTGTTTGATAATAAATGTTTCAAGGCAAACATAAAATAATACAAATGATTGTGTTACAGCCCCACTGGCCCCTGAGAACTGGAGGCTTGGTAAACTGCTTGGGAGAGGAGCATTTGGGGAAGTCTTCCTTTGCTATGATGTGGACAAGGGCAGAGAACTTGCTGTCAAACAGGTGCCATTTGACCCAGACAGTCAGGAGACAAGCAAGGTGAGTGCTGTCCAAACCAACCTTTTTATGGTCTTTCTCATGTATGTTTTTCTTCCAGGTTTCTAAGGTTCTGAAACAATATGATAGATGAAATAGCTGTGTTGTCTATTTTTGTCTCTTCTCAGCAATATGAGATTCACGTTGACATTGATATATTGAGGCTGAATGTTCACACAATAAATTCTTTGAAGATTCACTCAGCACAGCGGCTGTTCCCGGACCCAGAAGATGCTGTAATACATTGTAGTAACTATGGTTACTACAGTGTATTACAGGATCCCCGTGGGCCTACCAGGGATAATGTTTATATAAGTTCATTGTGCATTACCCCATAACAAAGACTAGAGGCCACCATTTAAAATGGGTGGAGAACAATTTCAGCACAAGGGGCACAGGGGGTTCTTCTCAGAGCAGTTAGGTTCTGGAACTCGCTGCCACATGCAGTGATTTCAGCTAAGAATGTGGAATCATTCAAGAAGCTCTTGGACGATTTCCTTAGAGACCATAACATACAGGGGTACAGGTACTCCTAAGAATAAGATCACACATGGACTCATACACACGCACACACCAGCAGAGACGTAAATGCATACACACAATAGGTTGGACTTGATGGACTTATGTCTTTATTCAACCTCAATACTATGTAACTATGTAATTACTGGACCAATGTAAGAATATATACATTTCTAAAGATGGAGCTTAGCTTTAAAGTGTTTAAATATATGGTAGTATACTAAAATCTAGACATGCAGTGACGTATCTTTTACCAGAAGGAGGTGGATAAATTAATGTAGAATTGCAAAATCAGTAAATCTTATGTAGGCAATAGAAGGAAAAATTGATTCCCATGCACACCGATGGAGCACAATGCATGTTCCCTAACCTATTGCGTTTTAACCAACCCCTGGGGACAAAAGAGCATATTGATCTGAAAGGCTGAAAGCTTAAAACACTTGTGCATCCTCTGAGTGGACCCACCTTCCAGTTCAGTAGAATGTTGACAATGGGACAAATTAAAATCACCAGCACTAGGCTCAGGGATCAGTGGTGCTCATGTGATGAACCCTTAGGTCATGATCATTATTTAGTTGCATTGGTTACCTGAGTTGTGGGATTTGCCCAGCTCTATTTTTTGCAATATTTCAATGTGTGGAAAATTTACCAGCCTGTGTTGTTTTGCTTGCAGGAAGTGAACGCTCTAGAGTGTGAGATCCAGCTGCTGAAGATTCATAGACATGAAAGAATAGTTCAATATTATGGCTGCTTGCGGGACCCCACTGAGAGGAAGCTCTCCATCTTTGTAGAGTACATGCCAGGGGTGAGCTGGATATTATGTGTAAATCATACTATGACTCTTGCACAGAATTTACCTGGATAGTAACATTTTTTTCAGTAAAAAACAGTTTGTTGATCCGGGAGTATCTGGTTACCTCAATCTTTCCCCTGTTGCAGCAAATTGAACCATGCTTCCTAGGGGTTTTGCCTTCCGTTTGATCAACTGTGGGTATCTGTAAACATAGGGGACTGTTTATGGAGGATTTTCTATTTTTGTTCTCTCTATAGGTTGAACTCAATGGCCTTCAGTCCAGAGTAAGAGCCAGTTTACATGTTAATACCTTTTTTATGGGCCACTAGATTATTTTAGCAGTTTTTAGCTCTTACAATAATATATCTTAACCATAGCTCTAGACATAACCCTAGTAGCCTTGTTCCTTGCTCTACTCCTAGTGACCCAAGCCTTAGTCAAACCCACATATTTAAAAAAAAAGTAAACCAATCCCAGGCCTCACTGTACCCAGCTGATGAAGAGTATGCAGTGGCTGTGTGAATTTAAAAAGTGATGTCTGCTTACTCTACAGTACTGTGATTTTTCTTCACGTATGGTGTATTATCTAGCATATGATGAAGTCATATATATTTTCATAGAAATAACAGAGTTTCTAGTAAATAAATCCCGGAATAGCTCAATATTGCTACCTGGTTTATCCCATTTATCATGTTCTGTGACATGCTGGTTCCATTATTCAACCTCGGATTGTGGCTCTCTACACTCCTCCATTTCCTGCACTCACTGCAATATCTGCCGTCTGTTTCTCTAATGGCATGTTTATTTACCTATCTCTACCTGTAGGGATCGATCAAAGACCAGCTGAAAGCTTATGGTGCACTCACAGAAAACGTCACCCGGCGGTACACGCGGCAGATTCTGCAAGGAGTGTCATACTTACACAGCAATATGATTGTACATCGAGACATTAAAGGTAAGTGTGAGAAGATGCTACAGTATTACAGGATTTTCCTTTGAAGTCAATGCAACTAATTCCACCTTCTGAAAGTCAGGAACAGGGTGGGGAAATGACCTTGAGTGCTTGACCCTGACTCTTAGAACTGAGACATTTTTGGCACTGTCTATCAAAAAAAAAAAGGGACCGTGTATTGTTTTTGTATATATTATTCTTTATTGTGTTAGGAACTACAACATCCAAATGATAACATTATTTTCAGGCAGGTAAATATAAAACTATTGCTTATGAATATATCATATTTAGTCTTTGCTTTAGGCTCATTTCACCACAATAACATTAAAGTATAATTGCACATTAGAGCCACCGCAGCCCCCATCATGCATGCTGACATTATAGGCTTAACAGGTTATGGAAAAGCTTTCTAATAAACTTCACAGATTCCAGAGCTCACATGTGCAAGGGTGGGCACTGGTCAATTAAAGGTTTTCAAGCAAGGATGTGAGGCTGCAAAAGGAAAAGAAAAGCTTGCTATGGATAAGTGCACTGATTCGTGACTTGCTTTGCTGAAAGAGCATGTTTTGTTTGTAGAGCTGATTAATGCACACTTGATATATATACAGAGTTTAATGAGTCAGAGAAGATCTATACCCCTCGCCGTTCCTGCTGTGTCAACTATGGTTTTAGTTAGTTAGACGGTCATAAAGAGAGCAGCTACTGTTGAGCTTTTTCTTTAGACCCAATATGCTCTAGAATAGTGGTCCTCAACCTATGTAACCTCAGGACCCACATTTGTCTTTGGTCATTATGTCGCGACCCAAGTCGCACTGCAATGAGATGCACGGCTTTAGGGTACCGCTCGTTCCCGTGCGGGCGTACGAATGGTGGGAGGTTACCAGCTAACCAGGGACACTGATCTACAGACAGCAAACTCTCCCGGGCGCTCTGGGAGTCTCCCGCTCCCGGCTGCCTAGAAGAGAAACACTGCTTTTTCTTTTTTTTTCTTTATTCTGACACGGAGCCGTGTCAGAATAGAAAAAAATATATATTTCTGGCCATAGTAATGCATTGCTAGATTCCTATTGGCTGTTTACATTTGCAATAGCAAACTAGCATTGCACCCGCCCTCTGCTGCAGTTCTCTATCAGGTCCACCACTACTGATTGACAGCAGCCCACTACTGATTGAATAGACCCCATTGATTCAGTGCTGCACATGAGGCTTTTGCTAAAGACTAGTTACATTTCCCAATAGCAAAGAAATCAGTAGTGTAGCCCTTGTCTAAGAGGGCATTCACTTTTATATATTCTTTATTTAGCATTACTTACTCTATCTTCAGCTTGAGAATCAGAGATCAAGGAGTACCTGAAATATTTTGCTGCCTTGTTAACTGCCTGACCTCACACACTGTCTTACAGCTTTTGAGTGTACATAGCAGTATCAAGTAACAGAGCCCTGTAATTGTTTACATTCTTGTAACAAAAGTCTGTTATGGTTCTCATTCATCCAGGTCGTGGTATTTTTGTAAACATTAAATCAAGGCAACTGGACAGAAAATTCTGAATTGAGAAAGCTGGTCAGATGACCAGTGAAATGTCAAAAAAATACAGCAAGTCCTGTTACTTTGATTACATTTTTGCAGATATACTTGCAACAAATGGTTCTCCTATTTGCTATTGTTATTCACATTTCAAAGCTGACAGTGAGGTTGTATTTTATCTTATGATAAGTGGGGCTTAAATTGTGGAGATGGATTTGGAGCCTGGAGAAACGAGTGTCCTTTATGGCTTGATATTCATTTCTGTTAACACTAATCTGTATTTCATAATACTTCTAATCTTTCATGTTTGAGCCATTTGCTGCCTTATACTAAATACTGATAAAAAGAGATGAAGCTTTAACTCAAGCTCACAATATCCTCACAAGACTCAGTAACATCATTCCTTTGGGAGACATTGCTAGTAAGGCTATTTGCCGAGGTCTTCAGTACATCACGTTAGTGTGCTGCAATATGCCTTTAGTATAATAGAACAGGATCAGATTCTTCAGAGTACCATGCCTCAAGGGAGTTGCACAATGGAGTATTGCCAGTTTTGGATCAGTGTGAGAATCAGTGTTCAATATATAGTAGAGTATATAACATTAATGAGACACTAGATACCACTCCATACAAGCAGCAAGAGATACCACAGGAAGGCTGAGTAATGGAGATAACGCTCCGGCTCCCTCAGCTATGGCACATTGCCTGGCTGTTTCCTGGATTTCCAAAGCTTGTACTTGTTTATAACAATGGCAAGAGTCAGGATTATTTTATGAACACATGCTATTACAGATGTTTTATCCATCATCTGCAGGTGCCAATATTTTAAGAGACTCGGCTGGGAATGTAAAACTTGGTGACTTTGGGGCCAGCAAACGCATCCAAACCATCTGTATGTCTGGGACCGGAATTAAATCGGTGACAGGGACCCCGTACTGGATGAGTCCAGAGGTGATCAGCGGAGAAGGATATGGGAGGAAAGCAGATGTGTGGTAGGTATTCTAGATTAATCCCTAGTGACAAATGAGATGAATAAATGTGAAAAGATCACTGCTGAATACACACGAATAGCCAGTACAATAACCTGTCAACATGACTTAGAACTATCAATATAACCTGAGAAAACAAATGAATGCTTTGTTTCCTACTTTTGTTCCCCATGGTCCCTGAGTGTGTTGTAAAGTAGTCACCGCTCCAAGCTCACTCCTCTGATGGACTACAATCTCATGTTTAGTTTACTAATTTGTATTGAGAGCGGCGGCTACTTTACAACACACACAGGGGCCATGGGGAACAAAAGTAGTCACCCTCCAGAAGGAAAGACAGTGTCAGCACCAATTCAGAGATGATTGGAGGATATACAGCCGAGTGATACACAAATAAGATACATTTAATAGTTGGGGTACTTGAATGGACTTTTATATTTTAACTCCTGAGTTTAGTGTCACTTGATCTCCAGCCATTTATGTTTCTTCTAACTTCCTGTTGTGTCTACAGGACAGGAAGTGAGAAGAATCTTGAATTTGACAGCTGGGTTTATTCATTCCCTACTCTATCTAAAATAAAAGAATACTATTTTTGGTTTCATGTTTCCATTACAGTATTCCATCTGTTCTCCTTGTGTATCTGTCAGCTGAATGTTTCGGTTGCATATGTGGACATTTTAGTGTGTTAACTACAGATACTGTCCGACTTTCAACAAACATTATTTGCATCAACCCTGGTCCACAAGATAACCCCAAGGGGAAATCAACCAGCTGTGTGTTCAATCTGTATCTTTGAATATATACTGCTCCCAATGGGCCCGAGGGTAAGGTTCAGGATGGCGGCTCACATTTTTGGAAGTGTAACTTTGTTCTTTTCTTCGGTTTGTCTTTAAGGAGTGTGGCATGCACAGTTGTGGAAATGCTGACAGAAAAACCACCATGGGCAGAATATGAAGCAATGGCTGCCATTTTCAAAATAGCTACCCAGCCAACGAAGCCCAGACTGCCGGACAATGTTTCAGATCCCTGTAGAGATTTCATGAAAATAATATTTGTGGAAGAGAAAAGGAGGCCCACGGCCGAGGAACTTTTAAGGCATCCGTTCGTTAGTCATAGTATTTAATTCTCTTTTTCGGTCAGTGTAAACAAATGAAGGATTATGAAATGCACCAAAATGGAATCCACAAAGACGTGTGCCTTCCTGCTGCTTGTGTTCATCAAGAGTCTTTAGACATCCCTGGGATATAATGGACACTGCTGGAAGAACACGGACCATCTGCACACTGCCACTAGTCATAAAATGTATCAAGCAATACAGTACTGAGGGCGGCCAGATGTCAGGGGCTGTATCTTTTTATGGAATTATACCAGGCCTTTTATGAAAAGCTGAACTCAAGGCAGATATAAAAAAACCAGCAATGAATATAGTACTGTGATCGCTAAAAATCTTTAAAGGAATTCATATAAGTGCCTAAATTTACCTTGATGTCAGCCTCCTATAATCCCCTGCAGAGCAGCACTGCTGACAGTGAACATTCTGACAGAGAGGGCAGAGAGTTGACCTCACCATTGTTCTTCTGCTCATCCATTGTCTATTCAGCAAGCTCTGGGGGATGTTTCACCTAGAGCTTTATACCAAACTGTGCTGCTGCTGTAGTGGTGATCAGGGATCTGGCTGTGCTGTCTAGCAGGGGTACCTGAATTACAATACTGGCTGCATAGAAATACAAACCCTTTGGTGGGTAAAGCAGTCCTCGTATATGTTTTGCTGGATATTTAGCTGCTTGCCTGGTGTTCAGTTTTAAGCCACACTGTTGTCTTTAAATGATTGTTGAGTAACAACTATTTTGAGAACCCTGGTTTTGGCCTTCGGTTTTTGAAGAAAGCTGCTGCTACACATAAGGTAGTTAGATCAAAGACTTTTTGGAATATATGTATGCATATGTGTGTAAGAAATATATGATTTAATAAGATCAGGTCGCCATCAGGAATGATCTGCTTGATTAGACAATCATGTCCTTTTACTTCCTAGGGCACAATCATAAACTCGGTCCATATCTTTTATCACCAGGAATAGTTAATGTGCCCAAGATGTTTATCCTGGTGGGGGTCTATGCCTGCCCCTGACATCACACATCTAGGAAAAGGGAGTGAAGCTTCCTTTCCTGGCAAGTTTATGAAGCTGGCCACATTTCATGTTTGCATAAATAATGTATCAGACAACACTTTGGGGCCTCTTTATAAACAATACAAAGGGCCCATCACCCTGCTAATATTTGTGAACACTCATACTTATTTCCTTTGCACAGTCTTGTGGCCATAATGTACGATAATAACAACACACTTCATTTAAACTGGGAAACTCCATCTAGTGGCCATAATGGATTATTACAACAATACATTCGAACTGGGAAAAATATATCAAGAACATTCCTTTTTGGCATTATTTGCCCAAAACAGACGTTCACATTTTCAGGGCCCTGCAGATTGTTTACAGATAAACCCCTTTATGTCATCCTGGGTTAGAAGTGGTCTCCAATGAAAGTCAGATTCCAAAGACTGAGCACCTTTAAACACGAGTGCATTGGTTTGTAGTGATCTAGATGTAACTACATTCCATTACTAGGGACAACAGGGAGAACACCTGGCTTGCAGTTTTAAAAAAATGCAGAATCATTCATAAACAGTCACATTGTGTACTGACAGCTTTGAACTTACATAAAAGAGAGCAGCATTTGAAGGTCCAATGTTCTGGGGCATACTCTCCACTCTAGAGCAAACATCATCATATAGATTGTCAGTCTGTAATCGTTGACCGTATACTGGGTGCAGTGGCTACAATAGGTTTACGTGCTGTGTTTGCCGCTCACCATAATAAGTTGTTTGTCCCTAGGATATATAAGAATTTCCCTAACTACTGGTTTTGAGAGTGGAGTTCAGAAGGCAGAGTTT